TTGAGAAATGGCTTTCTTCTTGCCACTCTTCCATAAAGGCCAGATTTGTGCAGTGCACGACTGATTGTTGTCCTATGGACAGACTCTCCCACCTCAGCTGTAGTTATCTGCAGTGGGTTAGGGTTAGGGTTAGCGGCTCCACCATACCCCCCGGCACGCTGACGGGTATGGAGCTATTATTGTTTCAATAATATTTGTGTGTGCGTAAACAGATTTGTGCGTGTGTAAAAAAAAATATTTGTGCGTGTGTAAATAAATGTGTATGTACGTATCAAGATTTGTGTGTGCGTAAAAATATGTGTGTGTGCGTAACAAGATTTGTGTGTGCGTAACTAGATCTGTGTGTGTGTGTTAAAAAAATAAAAATAATTGTACGCCCTACACTCAAGTCTTTTTTTTTGACGCAGTCCTGCCTTCGCAGATTCGCAAGTGTAACTTGGACTGTGTGTGTAAACAGATATGTGTGTGTAATTTGACATTTGTATCTGTAGCAGAACAATCTATGTGTAAATAACCACGTTGTACGAAGAGAAGAACGGAAAAAAGCCTAAAGTGCTGCTTACAGGCTCTGTTTTCCACAAATGTCTTTTTGACACACCTCTGCTGCCAAGCGTGTGTCAAAAGAGATTCGTAAGTGTAATGTGTTTGTTCTAGCAGTACACCCTGTAAATCAGGGGTGTCAACATTTTTAAAAGGCCCAGAAAGGGCCGATGTGGCTGCAGGTTTTAATTCCAACCTGAGTAGGAGCACACCAGACTCCACCCATTTCCTAAACTCTTCAGGTTAAGACTGGTCTTAGCTGAGGAAATGGGCGGAGTCTGGTGTGCTCTGACTTGAGTTGGAACTAAAACACTGGCTCTTTGAGGACCGGTTTGACCTACCATGAGACCAGGCCCTACAGAGTAATCTTTTTAACATTTAAAGCTTTTAGTATTGGCCATTTTCATTCAAGGCATGGATCCTTTTTAGAGCATTTTATAATTGTTACTAAATAAAATTATATATTTTAAAGCCTATGCCTGTGTGAATTTGTTTTTAAACGGTTATGGATTGGTCGCACCTGACATAATTTGTGTTACAAAACACTTGTAGGATCTAAACTCTTGTAATTCTTCATTCTAGAAACTGTGTAGCAGGATTTGTTCACAAGATAGAGTCTAGCGTATTGCACATGTTCCTGAGTCGTCAGTACTTGTCGGATAAACGGGCTGTAACATCGCTTTTGGCAGTAATCTAATTTCAGACAGCATACTCAGAAAGTGGTAAATTCAACCATGATACAGCTGTCAGTTTTTCTGCAGTCCAATATGGCGGCACAACTATCAGTCGCTATGAATCATGGGTAATTAGTGACATCGGTGCATATCCTCTATACATAGTTCCCACATGACGTCACTACATACGGGGATTTGCCGACCCGGCGCCATTTGTCTTGGCATGCTGTGGGCAAAACAATAGAAAAAGAAGCTGAAACGTGTTAATGTCGTGATAAAGTTGAAAATGGTCATCTCCTGCTGGGTCAATGGATGTTCAAATCGTGCCGGAGGTTCCGTTAAACTTGGATTTTACAGTATACCCATCATTAGACTTCATGAATGTGAGAAGACTAAGCTTTTGTCAGAACAACCACGGAGGTTATGGCTTGCAAAGATAAACAGGCAAGAAACTCCCTCAAAACACGCAAGAATATGCTCGGAGCACTTTGTGTCAGGTGCGTATCGTATCTTATAATGTGTTGACAGACGTAATTTACTCAGTACTAACTTGTGTATGCTGATATCTGGTAACTTGAGAGTTTCATTATTTAGATTACTTTATTATGAGGAGGATCGGTGTCGCGTCCGAGGCTCTCGAGGGCAACGTAAATGTATTAAATAGATAATAATAGTTCTATGGTGGGCTAAAACAATGTTCACAAACAGCATTGCTTCTGTAAAAAGATCTGTGTCATAAAATAAACTGCTCTTTACGCCTGGAAAAATCAGTTGCTCACCATTCACCAAAACATACGGTCAAAAACGCGGAAATAAACAATAACAGCAATCCAGAGTGTCCGTGTGGCATTAGCATTAATTAAATTAATTGTTAATATAATTAAAATAATTAAATGGAGCTCCAACTGGTATTAAATCTAAAGTTTTTGAGAAATGTTTGCATTGCTTGTTAATTTTTGCTGCATAATTTGATCAAATATGTAAAACATGTCCGTAGCACGTTAAACTGTGGTGCCATTGTATTAATATACAATTATTTGCTCAAAAGTTGCCCTTTTTTTCCAATTTGCGTTTGAATATCTACATTTATTCTCATTCTTCTGTTTAATGGAATGCACAAACACAGCAGCGTGCCATCAAAGATGGCGTCTCCGAGGAGGTCATGTGACATTCATTGGTCTGTGGGAACTATGTATAGACACAGAGACACAGGTGAACCACATTAGGGCGGGGCCGACAATCAACACGGGAACAGACCTGGAAGTCAAAGTACAACAAAACCACAGAACTAATGTCAAAACAAAACCAGTAAAAAAAAAAATAAAAAAAAGTACACCATGACAGTACGCTTGTCGATGTCTGCGTTTGATTTGAATTCCTATTACTATGTGAAAACTAAACTTTCTCTGTTCTATGACCTACCTAACCTACCTGACATTGCACTGTTAAATTTTTTTTCGTGCTGTCAATATTTTTTTTTAAATAGCAATTGATTGCATGAATGTCATAGTTGACTCATAATTAATCACAAATGAATCACACATTTTTATCTACTGTTTATGTTCTTTGAATTATCATTTTAATACTTTTATAAATATGCAAAATGAATCGGTTTACAGTGTACAAATGTTTTTCTTTGAAAAAGTGTAATGTTACATTTCACTCTTGATGCAAAATGTCATACAATTAAATGCTGGCTATGGTTGTAATAAGTTTGGTTTTAATCCTGGTTCACACGGCAGGATATTTAGGCCGATTTAGACCCGATTTACCCCTTACGACAATCTTAAGAAACGCTCCGATTTCCGTAACAAAATCTTACAGATTATCCTGCCGTGTGTGGTGTGTTAAGACTGCACTCGTCGCTCGGAAGGACATCGGGACTGCTCCCGATCTCAAATCGGGGATATCCAACATGTTGGATTGTTTTGGCCCGATTTCTCTTCGTATGTGGTGTCCCCCGAGGACAGACGTGCGCGTTGCCATGACTGCGGCGTGTAGCCAATCAGAAGACGAGACGAGGCGGTGAGGAAACGCCTCCATATCACGATGTAGCAAGTATAGTCCATGCTCGTGTTGTCTACACTTCTTTGACCATCGCCTTTTCTTTTGATTACGTCTTTTCTCCGATAAAAACAAACTATCGCCAATGCATCCTCTTCGTCCGCCATGTGTGTTTACTCTGAAGTCACGCTTGATCTCGCGAGACCTGAGATTTCCGTCTGATCTGTGAATACTCGGGGGAATCGGTTCGTGTGTGGTTTGCGTGATTTTTGCCGTGTGGCTGCGCACCACACACTGTACGACCAAAGTGATTAGACCCGTGATTTTTTATCTCCCTGTGTGGGGTCTCACACAGAGAAAAATCGGCCGACAATTTTAAAATCGTCTCGTGTGAACCAGGCTTTAGTTGCGCTCTCCATACGTCTCTGTCAAAAGCCAGTTATTATAATAGATCCATGAAAAGCCATCTGTTGTCGCCTGGTTTTGACAACAACACGGCGAGATCAGTCGCGTGTTTATCAGATGGAATTTCAAAGTGGATGTGCTACGTTGAAAACTAGTTCACACCAACATTATACACAGATAACGTTATGTTGGTCTTGTCTAAACTTTCCATTCAGTAGCTTGGTAGATCCATTTTGGCATTTTGTGCTAGACAAACTAGTAGCTACTTTCACAGCGAGCTAGCAGACAAGATGGCAAACCAAACACTCGCAGAGGGGAGGTTCCGGTTCCTGTTTCTGTAGAAAAGTAGGTCATGTTGTCAAAAAAGATTTGACTGACGTGTTCAAAGTTTGATACAGAAAACAGACGAAGATATCCAAGTTTAACGTCTGTATTTAATTTATCTTTACAATCAGATATATTCAACAAGAGAGCTACTAAACTATCCATGTCCCTCGCTGGCCCTGTGCTGACTCTGAGCCCCCGCCTCAAGCCAGAGCATATCAGCAGATGTCCAGGAAGAAGGGGGCGTGTCGTATCAGTCAGCTCTCGGTCCAGGGTCCGGCCTTTCCTCCGTCTCGCCAGACCTAAAACAGAATCATTCACACACACTACCCTAAGGCTCCAAGCAGCTGTCACTAGTCTGGGATCAATCTCTGCTGTCTAAACAACTCCCCTCATTACTCTCAACAGCCCGCTTTCCTAAAGAACAAACCTATTGTGCAGTACAAACACATCACACTAATATCCTAATATCTAAGTACATGAAATCACCTAAAATATGAAGTAAATATATGTTAAAAAAGGTTATGTGTATTATCATATGACAAATGAGTAGACTAGAGGACTCTAGCCATGTCAACCCACTCCTGATGGAGTGAGGTGAAGAGTGCAGAAGTCTGCAGGAGCCCAGACTAGGGGGTGAAATCCAAACAGCAGAAACCATCTGTTGTTTAGTTGATGGCACAAGAAGACACCTCTGATGTATAAGAAAAGACTGGCCTCCAACCCAGAATTCCAGAGGTCACCAAACACATGCGTTTTAGTGTGTCAGGGTATTTATAAATACAACAGTCACTACTGCTGCAATAAATAAAATTGACATTATTGATTTGCAAAAAACGCAATATCACAAAAAACAAACTTATTTATTTTAATGAATAAGCAAAACTGCAAATAAATAACTAAACAATGAATCAGAATAATAATCATACATTTAGTCATTCATCAACAGCCCTAATCTAAACTAAAGCTTTAAAATACCAGAATCCAAATCCAGCCCATTAACAAACTCCACACTCTAAGTTTACCCCTCTCCTCTTTCCCCTGCACACACAGATGAACGGGACGCGGTGCAGAAGAAAACCTTCACCAAATGGGTCAACTCTCACCTGAGCCGCGTGTCCTGCCGCATCTCCGACCTGTATACCGACCTGCGGGATGGCTACATGCTGACCAGGCTGCTAGAGGTGCTGAGTGGGGAGCTGCTGGTGAGATCTTTGAGACAAATCTTTGCTGAATCTTGCATGAGCACTTTTCATCATCAGGAACCACACATTTAAGGTTTCTGTGCTTTTCTAAAGATTGATCAAAGTTTCAATTGCAGTTCTGCACATTTTTGTATTGTTGTGTTTCTGCTGCGCCACCTGTGTGTCACCGCTATCACCAGTTCCTAATGAACCATCTGATTTTGGGAAGTTGGAAGATTATGTAGATATCTCAGAGTGTCCGAGATTGCAAGAATCACCATGTGGCGTCGGACGTCCTCATACTCAGAATCAGAATCAGAATCATTTTTATTGCCACGTAAGTAACAGGAGGTCACAGACTAGGAAATTGCTTTGGCTCAGTGCAACAGTCAGAAAGAGATAATAAGAATAAAAAACACTTCTAAAGAATAAATGTAAATTTAAAATAGAGTTACAGTTACTATTTACAATATACAAGTGCACATGGTGCACACAATGTAAGGTGACAGCAGTACAGTGAAGTAAAGTGACGTATGATGGGCAGTAAAGTGACTTTATAAAGGGCGGGGGGACAGGTTAAGAAGTGTTCAAGATTCCAACAGCAGAGGGGAAGAAACTGTTCTTGTGGCGGGAGGTTCTAGTCCTGATGGACCGCAGCCTCCTGCCTGAGGGGAGTGGTTGGAATAGTCCATGTGCAGGTGAGAGGGGAGTGGTTGGAATAGTCCATGTGCAGGTGAGAGGGGAGTGGTTGGAATAGTCCATGTGCAGGGTGAGAGGGGAGTGGTTGGAATAGTCCATGTGCAGGTGAGAGGGGAGTGGTTGGAATAGTCCATGTGCAGGTGAGAGGGGAGTGGTTGGAATAGTCCATGTGCAGGTGAGAGGGGAGTGGTTGGAATAGTCCATGTGCAGGTGAGAGGGGAGTGGTTGGAATAGTCCATGTGCAGGTGAGAGGGGAGTGGTTGGAATAGTCCATGTGCAGGTGAGAGGGGTCGGCTGTGATACGACCAGCCCGGCCTCGAGCTCGGGCGACGTACAGGTCCTGCAGCGATGGAAGGCTGCGGCCGATCACTTCCTCTGCAGAGCGCACAATGCACTGTAGTCTCTGTTTGTCCCTGACTGTGGCTCCAGAACCACACGGTGACGGAGGAGGTGAGGATGGACTCGATGATGGCCGTGTAGAACTGCAGCTTGGCTTTCCTGAGCTGCCGCAGGAAGTACATCCTCTGCTGGGCCTTCTTGATGAGGGAGCTGATGGTCGGCTCCCACTTGAGGTCCTGGGTGATGGTGGTGCCCAGGAAACGGAAGGACTCCACAGAGGTGATGGGGGAGTCCATCACGGAGGGTGGGGGTGGGGGGACAGTGCTCTTCCTGAAGTCCAAAATCATCTCCACTGTCTTCTGGGCGTTCAGCTCCAGGTTGTTACCACTGCACCAGGACACCAGCCGGTCCACCTCCCTCCTGTAGGAGACACCAGGACACCAGCCGGTCCACCTCCCTCCTGTAGGAGACACCAGGACACCAGCCGGTCCACCTCCCTCCTGTAGGAGACACCAGGACACCAGCCGGTCCACCTCCCTCCTGTAGGAGACACCAGGACACCAGCCGGTCCACCTCCCTCCTGTAGGAGACACCAGGACACCAGCCGGTCCACCTCCCTCCTGTAGGAGACACCAGGACACCAGCCGGTCCACCTCCCTCCTGTAGGAGACACCAGGACACCAGCCGGTCCACCTCCCTCCTGTAGGCGGACTCATCGTTGTTGGAGATGAGTCCAATGAGGGTGGTGTCGTCCGCGAACTTGATCAGCTTCACAGAGTCGTGGCTGGAGGTGCAGTGGTTGGTGTACAGGGAGAAGGAGCAGGGGAGAAAGAACACAGCCCTGTGGGGCTCCTGTATTTATAATCCGAGAGTCCGAGACATTCTTCCCCAGACGCACTCGCTGCTTCCTGTCCGTCAGGAAGTCAGTGATCCACCTGCAGGTGGAATCGGGCACGTTGAGCTGGGAGAGCTTGTCCTGGAGCAGGGATGGCAGGATTGTGTTGAAGGCAGAGCTGAAGTCCACGAACAGGACCCTGGCGTAGGTCCCCGGGGGGTCCAGGTGCTGTAGGATGTGGTGGAGGGCCAGGTTAATGGCGTCGTCTACAGATCTGTTGGCTCTGTAAGCGAACTGCAGGGGGTCCAGGAGGGGGGAGGTGAGGGACTTGAGATGGGAGAGAACCAGGCGTTCAAATGACTTCATGACGACAGACGTAAGTGCTACAGGTCTGTAGTCATTGAGTCCTGTGATCCTGGGCTTCTTCGGGACGGGGACAATGATAGAGGATTTGAAGCAGGACATGGCAGGACTGCAGAGAGGTATTGAAAATGTCCGTGAACACAGGAGTAAGCTCACTGGCGCAGTGTCTCAGAGTGGCCGGAGACACGTGGTCCGGGCCAGGAGCTTTGCGAGGGTGCAGCCTCAGGAAGAGTTGTTTAATCTCTTTAGAGGCTATTGTCAGGCTGGGGGCAGGGCTGATGGGTGGGTCGTTAGAGTAGTGGGGGGTGGGGGAGGGAGAGGTGTCAGGGGCAGCATCAAAGCGACTGAAAAATAAGTTCAGATCGTCAGCTAGCTTGTGGTCGTCAGCACAGGGGGGGGCTTTGGGTTTGTAGTTGGTGATCTCCCGTAGGCCCCTCCAGACAGAAGCAGTATCGTTGTTACCAAACTGCTCCTGTAGTTGTTCTCTGTGCCGGGACTTGGCTGCTTTCAGTTCTTTCCTGAACTGATATTTAGCTGCTTTGTAGCCGCTGCGGTCCCCCTCCCTGAAAGCAGACTCCTTTGCTTTCCTGAGCTGCCGGAGTTTAGCAGTGAACCAGGGTTTGTCGTTGTTATAGATGACCCTGGTCCTTGTTGGAATGATGCTATCCTCACAGAAGTGAATGTATGACGTCACAGTGTCCGTGTATTCATCCAAACTATCTGTGGCAGCTCTGAAAAGGTCCCAGTCTGTAGATTCCATGCATGCAGCTCTTCCACAGCTTCATCAGACCACACTTTGGAGCTCCTCACTGCAGGTTTCGAGAGCTTTAGTCTCTGTCTGTAAGCAGGAACCAGATGTATCATGGAGTGATCTGAGAAGCCGAGGGCTGGCTTGGGAACAGCGCGAAAAGCTCCGCGCACGGTGGTGTAACAGTGATCCAGAGTGTTCTCCTCTCTGGTCGGGCATTTGATAAACTGTCTGTATTTGGGTAATTCCTGGCTCAAGTTTCCCTTATTAAAATCCCCCAGGATAATAATCAGAGAGTCCGGGTATAAACGTTCCATACACAGTACTTGCTCTGCGTCCGCGCATGGCGGTATGTAAACAGAGGCAAGAATGAATGAAACAATTTCGCGCGGGGAGTAATATGGTTTACAATGAATGAAAAGATATTCCAGAGCAGGAGAGCAGTGCTTGGAGATCACTTTCACATCGTTACACCAGTTTGTATTGACGTAGAAACACAGCCCACCGCCTCTGCTCTTCCCTGAGAGCGCACAATGGCGATCCGTGTGGAACAGCCCAAAGCCCTGCAGCTCCAGAGCACAGTCCGGGATCCGCTCATTTAGCCAGGTCTCAGTGAAGCAGAGGACACAGAGGACACCAGGTCTCAGTGAAGCAGAGGACACAGAGGACACCAGGTCTCAGTGAAGCAGAGGACACAGAGGACACCAGGTCTCAGTGAAGCAGAGGACACAGAGGACACCAGGTCTCAGTGAAGCAGAGGACACAGAGGACACCAGGTCTCAGTGAAGCAGAGGACACAGGATGTGGCGAAGTCCTTGTTTCTTCTCATGAGCTCAACGAAACAAGACGTGATGGAAATAGCTTCAATAGCGTCAATAGCTTGAAAACACGCAAGCATTACGCGCGTCACGCTCGCGTCTCTTTTGGCGTCAAGGGCGCCGAAGTTGAAAAAAGCTGAGCCTTTGGAGCTTTTTTTTTTTTTTTTCAAACTTTATTTATTGATTTTTGACAAAAGGTACAGAGTATATCAACACAGACGCATACAGTGTACAAACCAAGTACCTAAGATTAAGAAAGAAAATACAGACAACAAAACCCCTACTAAGACACACACACACACACACTCTAATATGTACAGGTACAAGCTGTGTTCCATAACATCACTCTCAAATTAAAATTGTTACAAAATATATAAATACACACACATACATATGTATATATGTATACACATACACACACGTACAAAACCAAATCAATCAAGGCATGTTTATGTAAACACAGCTATGTAAATAAGTACAAAAGAAAAATAAATAAATAAAATAAATTTACTTTTATAAAAAAAAAAAATACAAATATAAAAAATTACCAGCACAATGCTGTGGATAATTAGTCAGGAATGAACGGAAAATCAATCCTTCTGAGAGCTGCAAACAAAGGATCCCATATTTCTGTAAACACCCCAGGAGAGTCCCTAATAGTTAACCGTATTTTTTCAAGTTTAAGAAAGTGAAGAACATCTCGCAGCCAATGAACATAAGATGGTGGTTGTGGAGACTTCCATTTAATCAAGATGACTCGTCGTGCCAGAAGAGTCATAAAAGCAAGTGCAGATTTTTGTGAGCTAGATAAAGAGAGTTGCAAAGGAACAATGCCAAACAGTGCACTCAGAGGGTCAGGTGCTATCTGCTCACCAACAACATCAGACAAGATGGAAAACACTGGACAGGACCAAAAAGTATGAATCAAATTTGCAGTCGAAAGTTTGCACCTGTCACATATAGGTGACAAATTGGGATACATTTTAGCCAGACGGGCCTTAGTATAATAGATGCGATGTAACAGTTTGCATTGAATCAGACTGTGCCTGGCACAAATGGAGGACTTATGAACTAAAAGCAACATTCGTGACCAAAGTTCCTCTGATATGGTGACACCCAGATCTTCTTCCCAAAGTTCCTTAATTGTAGCCATATTGTGAGGACGAATTAAAGTGATTTGATTATAAACCATTGAAATCACGCCTTTCAAAGAAGGAATAGGTTCGAGAAACTCATCAATGGGGGAATCTCCCGGAGAATCAGGAAAGGCCGGGAACATGTTACGGACAAAACTACGTATCTGCAAATAATGAAAGAAGTGGCTACGTGGTAAAGAAAACTTATCAGAAAGTTGTTGAAATGAAGCAAATACATTATCAATGTATAGATCTCTGAAAGACCTAATACCATTTCTCGACCACAATATGCAAAAGCCATCTGTAAGAGAGGGCAAAAAAGCGTGATTATGAGCTAAAGGAGCAGACAGAGAAAAGGCTTGCAAACCGAAGCGCCGCCGGAATTGTGACCAAATCTTTAACGAAATCCTGACCATACAATTGCCTGTGTAAGATGCGATCGAGGACTGAATAGGTGAATGTAGGAGGGCTAACAGAGAAACCGGTTTTACAGAGTTTGCTTCCATGACTAGCCAAGAAGCTGGGGAGACCAAAGCATCAATCTGAAGCCAGTACCTAAATATCCTAATGTTACAAGCCCAATAATAATACTTAAAATCTGGTAAGGCCATGCCACCAAGCTTTTTTGATTTCTGCAAATACTGCATTCGCATACGGGGAATTTTCTTGTCCCAAATAAACTCCCAAATAATAGTATCAAGTTTATTGAAAAAAGATTGTGCAAGGAAGATTGGAATGCATTGAAAAGGATAAGAGAAACGGGGGAGAATGTTCATCTTAATACAATTGATCCGGGCCACCAAGGATAAGCCAAGTACTGACCAACGATCGAAATCCTCCTTGATTCATGTCAGCAGTGGAGCAAAGTTGGCTACAAAAAGATCTGCAAACCTCTGAGTTACCTGAATACCTAAATAAGTAAACCCCTGAGGTGAGAATTTGAACGGCAGAGTGTTTAGGGAGAAGTTTACCGTTGAAGAGTTCACAAGGAATAATTCACTCTTGGAAAGATTTAATTTATAACCAGACAACTTTCCAAATTCAAGAAGTGTGTTGATAGCAACTGGAATCAAAGAGTTCAGATCTGTAACATATAAAAGTAAATCATCTGCATACAAAGACACCTTGGTTTCCACTCCATACCTACATATTCCCCTGATATCTGGATTGGATCTAAGTGCAATTGCAAGGGGTTCTATTGCTAGTGCAAATAACAGAGGGCTCAGTGGACACCCCTGCCTCGTAGAGCGATGGAGGCGAAGATACTCTGATTGGACATCGTTTGTCCTAATGGAAGCGTGTGGATCAGAGTAAAGCAACCGAATCCAACAACTAAAATTCTCACCAAAACCAAATTTTTTAATAGTATGGAACAAATATAGCCACTCCACCCTATCAAAGGCCTTCTCAGCGTCCAATGATATTAGGGCTTCTTGAGTATTGGAAGGAGTAGAATTATAAATTATATTAAAAAGACGTCTTATATTGGAAAAGGAATGCCTATTCCGGATAAACCCTGTCTGATCAGGTTTAACGATCGAAGGAAGAACTGATTCTATACGAAGTGCCAGTATCTTCGCTAACAATTTACAATCAACATTTAACAGACTTATTGGTCGATAAGAAGAACAAAGTTGAGGGTCTTTACCTTTCTTGGCTAGAAGAGTAATAATGGCTTGATTTAACGTCTGTGGCATACAACCCTGGTGCACAGATTCATTATAGAGATCCAACAGTAAAGGTGAAAGCCTATCACAGAATTTTTTGTAGAACTCACACGGATATCCATCAGGCCCAGGGCATTTACCCCCCTGCATGGATTTAATTGCTTCAGTAAGCTCCTTTGCAGTTAGAGGCCTTTCAAGATGATCGCCAGTGGTCTTGTCAATAACGGGGATGTCTAACTTTTCAAAAAAAGCATTGAGGTCAGATGTGGAAGGATTACACTCAGATGAATACAGTGTCTGGTAATAACTTTTAAAAGCCAAATTAATTTCAATTGGGTCTGTAGTAGTGCAGTCTTCAGTTTTAATTTACGAGATTCGTCGGGAATCTGATATTTGTCTAATTCTGTGTGCCAGCAATTTTCCAGCTTTATCTCCATGTTCGTAAAATTGAGCTCCTGTTTGAAGCAGCATTTCCGTTGTACGTTGTGTCATTAACACGTCAAATTCTGTCTGTAACAAAACGCGTTCCTTGTATATATCTGGGGTTGGAGAAACTGAATAGAGGTCGTCCAGTTGAGATATACGACATGTCAAGTTAGACAGCTTTTCTCTTCTTACCTTCTGCTCAAATTTTGTATAAGAAATTATTTCACCTCTAATATAAGCCTTCATAGTTTCCCACAGCAGTGAAGCTGAAACGCCAGCTCCCCTGTTATTCACAAGGAAAAAGTCAATCTGCTGTTCAACAAAGGATACAAAATTCTTATTGGACAACAGACGAGTGTTTAGCCGCCACAGTGATTGCTTTTTTGGTGGTGAAGAAAATTCTAAATTTACAGAGACAGGAGCATGGTCCGAAAGAACAATTGCCTCGTAATTGCAAACAATAAGAGAGGAAAGTAGCCGATTGTCGATCAAAAAAAGATCAATGCGTGTAAAAGTATGATGGACCGGAGAGAAGAAAGAGTAAACTTTCTGCAAAGGATTTAGGAAGCGCCAAGCATCTGATACACCAAATTCTGTCATGAATGAATTAACTGCTCTAGCTGAAGGTGAAAGGGTACCTGGTTGAGTGGAGGAGCGATCTAACTGAGGATCAAGCCAACAGTTAAAGTCTCCACCCAGAAGTAACTTATGATTCGACAAGTCAGGAAGTTGAGAAAATAAACGCTTAAAAAAGCCTTCGTCATCATGGTTTGGAGCATAAATGTTAACCAAAACGATAGGTACATTACAAATAGTGCCTGTAAGAATGATATACCTCCCATTAGGATCCGAGATTGTTTGTGAATGTATATATGGGACAGATTTGCATATTATAATAGCTACCCCACGAGCCTTACTGTTAAAAGATGAATGATCTGATCAACCCAATTCCTTTTTAATTTATTGTGATCCAAGTTTTTCAGATGCGTTTCCTGCAAGAAAGTTATATGAGCCCCTAATCGCTGGATGTGATGCAATACCTTACTACGTTTTACCGGATTGTTAAGCCCTTTACAGTTGAAGCTGGTAAAACGAATTTGTTGTCCTACAGCATTGGCTGGTGCTGTCCTATGACATGGGTTGCAAACAAGGAACGAGAGATGGCACGGATCCCCCTGGACACCTGACGAAAACAGATAGAAGAAAAAACACCCATACACACACTTGCCTACTTACTCACACGCCTAAACCCCCAAAACTGAACATAGACAAAGTCGCAGAAGCACCCCCCCAACTGGAATGCGCGACCCCAACCTCCCCAAAAAACTACAAAAAGGGCCCTTAAACAGGGCTGGGAGAGCAGTTTGAAATAAACCCTACTCTCCAGTGGAATGCTATATGTCAACGAAAAATAATAAATAATGCATCACTACTTTAAAGTAATAGTAAAGTCAATATTTTATAATACTTATTATTATTATTATTACAATAAAATAAAAAAAAGCTAATCTAATAAGTAAAAGACATATTTCCCCTCCTTGCTTGCACTGTGCAATTCTCAAAAGTTTAAAATAAAAAAGTCAAATATGTAAAAAACAAAAATAATAATAAAAAACAAAAACACAATCAAATGTGTATAGAATATATGCTATAATAACAATAAATGTATCCAAAACGAAAAACACTGCATTACTGCAAAGTATAAACTAACGGCACAACAAAGATGAATACATTCTATTAAAAAGGAAGAGAAATATTTAACATGTAGAACAATAGAATGAGTAAACTACCTCAGAGAACACCAGTCCAGTGTATACCACCTGATTACGCCACGCATCAGAGTCTGGGGCGACCACACTTTTAATATTCTTCTCCACGAAATCCAAGGCTGCATCAGGGTCTTCAAACTTGTGACTTGTCCCACTAGGCAGCGTGATCTGAAGCGTTGCTGGAAAGAGCAGTCCAAACTTCACTCCAGGGCATGAATGTAGTTCCTTCTTAACTCTGCCAAATGTAGCTCTTTTCTTCGCTACTGCCGTAGTATAGTCGGGGAAAATAAGCACTCGCCTCCCGTTGAAATGAAGAGGAGACTCACGGGCCTTACGCAGGATTTCGTTCCGCACTTGGTACATGTTCACACGAACAACGAAAGGCCATGGAGGCGCTCCCTCCCCTGGTCTGGGTCGTAGGGTGCGATGAGCGCGGTCCAAAACAGGTTTAGCATCCAGGCGCAACAAGTCATGTAGTAAGCCAGCCACGAACTCAGTGGGGCGAGGGCCCTCTGAATTCTCCGGAATTCCAACGATTCGTATGTTGTTGAGTCTTGAGCGACCCTCCAAGTCCTCACACTTTCTGGTCAAAGAGGCAACTTGATCCTGTGCAGGCCTCTGCTAACCGAGGCCTGCACAACTGTTAGCCTCCCGTCCTGCTCATTAGCCGCTTGCTCCAAATCACGGACAGCACTCGAAAATGATGCAATCCTTGCCTCCAATGGTGACAGAGCTCCCGTGATCTCTTTTTTCACCACGTCAGAAATGATGTCCCCGAGTCCATTCATAATGTCTCCGCGCATTTCTTCCATCATTTCTCTCATGCTAGCAAGCAGTGATCGGTTAGCTTCGGATTCAGCCATTGGTGTAGCAGCCCCCTCGTGCTCAGACTTGCTAGTGCTGCGTGTGGTCACTCCGATGTCAGTTTTCCTCATTATTAGGGCTGAAAACACGTTAATTCGTCCCGACATGCGCGTACATAAACACTGGTAATCAGACTGGAACTCCAGAGAAAAAAAAAGTGATGCAAAATATCAAATTAAATTAACATTCCGGAGGAGCTACAAAAGCACAACCTACTCCATAGGTGCTCAGCAGCGCCCCCGAGCTTTTGGAGCTTGACGGCTTCAACCAATCAAGAGACGAGCAGCAGCAGTCTTGGAGGGAAGTCATGTAGCTGCTGCTGTTTTATTATCAATATTGTTATTAGTAATATTAAGAACGTTACTATAATAATAAGTAAGTTACAAATAATAAGTAAGTAACAAAATCAATGTACACATGCTGTGAAGTTATTTATTTAATATAAAAACAAGCTCACGATGAGTCTGGCTCAGAGCGAGAGCGAGGCTAACTCCAGGCGGGGGAGAGGCGAGCTCCAGGCGGGGGGGAGGCGAGCTCCAGGCGGGGGGGAGGCGAGCTCCAGGCGGGGGAGAGGCGAGCTCCAGGCGGGGGGGAGGCGAGCTCCAGGCGGGGGAGAGGCGAGCTCCAGGCGGGGGAGAGGCGAGCTCCAGGCGGGGGAGAGGCGAGCTCCAGGCGGGGGGGAGGCGAGCTCCAGGCGGGGGGGAGGCGAGCTCCAGGCGGGGGAGAGGCGAGCTCCAGGCGGGGGAGAGGCGAGCTCCAGGCGGGGGGGAGGCGAGCTCCAGGGGGGGGGAGGCGAGCTCCAGGCGGGGGAGAGGCGAGCTCCAGGCGGGGGAGAGGCGAGCTCCAGGCGGGGGGGAGGCGAGCTCCAGGCGGGGGGGAGCCGAGCTCCAGGCGGGGGGGAGCCGAGCTCCAGGCGGGGGGGAGGCGAGCTCCAGGCGGGGGAGAGGCGAGCTCCAGGCGGGCTCCAGGCGGGCGAGAGGCGACCTCCAGGCGGGCGAGAGGCGAGCTCCAGGCGAGATCCAGGCGGGCGAGAGGCGAGCTCCAGGCGGGGGAGAGGCGGGCGAGAGGCGAGCTCCAGGCGGGGGGAGAGGCGAGCGAGAGGCGAGCTCCAGGCGGGGGGAGAGGCGAGCTCCAGGCGAGCTCCAGGCGGGGGAGAGGCGAGCTCCAGGCGAGCTCCAGGCGGGGGAGAGGCGAGCTCCAGGCGGGGGAGAGGCGAGCTCCAGGCGAGCTCCAGGCGGGGGAGAGGCGAGCTCCAGGCGAGCTCCAGGCGGGGGAGAGGCGGGGGAGAGGCGAGCTCCAGGCGGGGGGGAGGCGAGCTCCAGGCGGGGAGAGGCGAGCTCCAGGCGGGGAGAGGCGAGCTCCAGGCGGGGGAGAGGCGAGCTCCAGGCGAGCTCCAGGCGGGGGGAGAGGCGAGCTTCAGGCGAGCTCCAGGCGGGGGAGAGGCGAGCTCCAGGCGGGGGAGAGGCGAGCTCCAGGCGGGGAGAGGCGAGCTCCAGGCGGGGGAGAGGCGAGCTCCAGGCGAGCTCCAGGCGGGGGAGAGGCGAGCTTCAGGCGAGCTCCAGGCGGGGGAGAGGCGAGCTCCAGGCGAGCTCCAGGCGGGGGAGAGGCGAGCTCCAGGCGAGCTCCAGGCGGGGGAGAGGCGAGCTCCAGGCGGGGGGGAGGCGAGCTCCAGGCGGGGGGGAGGCGAGCTCCAGGCGGGGGGGAGGCGAGCTCCAGGCGGGGGGGAGGCGAGCTTCAGGCGGGCTCCAGGGCGAGCTCCAGGCGGGCTCCAGGCGGGCGAGAGGCGAGCTCCAGGCGAGCTCCAGGCGGGCGAGAGGCGAGCTCCAGGCGAGCTCCAGGCGGGCGAGAGGCGAGCTCCAGGCGAGCTCCAGGCGGGGGAGAGGCGAGCTCCAGGCGAGCTCCAGGCGGGGGAGAGGCGAGCTCCAGGCGGGGGAGAGGCGAGCTCCAGGCGGGGGAGAGGCGAGCTCCAGGCGGGGGAGAGGCGAGCTCCAGACGGGGGAGAGGCGAGCTCCAGGCGAGCTCCAGGCGGGGGAGAGGCGAGCTCCAGGCGAGCTCCAGGCGGGGGAGAGGCGAGCTTCAGGCGAGCTCCAGGCGGGGGAGAGGCGAGCTTCAGGCGAGCTCCAGGCGGGGGAGAGGCGAGCTCCAGGCGAGCTCCAGGCGGGGGAGAGGCGAGCTCCAGGCGGGGAGAGGCGAGCTCCAGGCGGGGAGAGGCGAGCTCCAGGCGGGGAGAGGCGAGCTCCAGGCGGGGGAGAGGCGAGCTCCAGGCGAGCTCCAGGCGGGGGAGAGGCGAGCTCCAGGCGAGCTCCAGGCGGGGGAGAGGCGAGCTCCAGGGGGGGAGAGGCGAGCTTCAGGCGGGGGAGAGGCGAGCTCCAGGCGGGGGAGAGGCGAGCTCCGGGGAGTGGGTACTCAAACTGGGTGAGTGTAAGTAATATTTATTTTATTTTGGGGAAGTACCGCTGAAAGTAAAACTCCTCCGTACGCAGCTCCTGGAGTAAATGATGAAACTCTGCAAACACTGCAGCCTCAGTCTGTGGTGAACCCAGAACATGTTTTGTAGAAACCCCACAACAACGTTATTTGACTTTATATAACAAATAAAGGCTTGCAGCTCTCTGGAAATCCACCGTTGTCGTGACGACCGGCAACAGAGAAGCTCCTCCCACCGGCGTCAGGCGCGTCAGGAGATTCAAGCACCAAGGCGTTCAAACCGGACCCAGCGTCAAACAACGCGTCCAAAGCTTTTTGAGGATTTTGGTCTGAAAGCACCTTTACACTTATGCTCCAAGGGGAAATTTAGATTAAACTGCATAAAGGAAAATCTATTTCTTTGTCAGTTGTAGTTTGTTTTTAAATAGAAAAAAATAATCGATTAAAATCCAAAATTGGATTTGGTGTGAAAAAATCTGAGATTTTTTTTTAGCCATATTGCCCGGCCCTAGTTCATATGGTACTAGTGCGAGGCCATGGAGAGACTTGAACACAGGCAGAGCTGCTTTAAAGTCACAGGAAGCCAGTGCAGAGACCTTAATTAGACTAATGTGGTTGTACTTCCTGGTTCTAGTCGCGACTCGAGCTGCAGATTTTTTAAATGTACTGCAGCTGTTTTGCAGCTCGTTTGGTGAGCCCAGTGGGCAGGCCTTTACAGTAATCCAACCGAGACAAATGCATAATAATCTTCAATCTGATTGCAATGCAATGTTTTTCCGATGGTAAAAAGCCGCTGATGTTACTATTAAATTGAAGTCTGAGTCATTATCATATAGATTTCTGACCTGAGTTTAGATGTCCACTCACTGATCTGTTGGATACAGTGAAGGAGTGAGTCCATTGTTGTTACTGCGTATTACTGACCTAACAGCAGAGTGCAGAGATTGAACAGGATCGACCCCTGTGGCACTACACAGGTCAGGGCCATATGATCTGATACACAATTCGTTGTGAAACCATCGAACAATGCTGGCCCTACCCATTACGCAGACAGACTAAGCAGTCTCCTTGGGGACCCAAGCCCACAGTCCCTTGAATTTAATTGCAAATGATAAAATGTCTCTGAAGTAAGGATCTAAATACAGCACAAAAGTCATTCAACTCAGAGCTGTAATTCCAAACAAAGTGTGAGTTTATTCATTAGTAAATGTGCACAATTACAATGAATAACAGAACCGATACCAATACCACCGGGCAGCCGTCCGAAATCGACTGCCACGATTGAGGAAATGACTGTACATTAAATAGACCAGAGTAAACAAACACATATCTACTCTAGATATTACAGAGATGAAGTCAACATTGATATGTGTTGCTCAAGGCTTCTCTTTACGCCTCCTAACGCTGATACAACTCTGATATATGTAACAATCTGCTTTTGAACTGAACATATTGTTCTATGACCCAGGTCAAAGACATGATGCAGCACGTCTCCATCTATCACTGACCTGAGCCAACAGAGCACTATGGCCTGTATCTGAATCTCCATCTATCACTGACCTGAGCCAACAGAGCACTATGGCCTGTATCTGAATCCAGAGTTCACTGTTAGTCAATAATTTACACTCAGAACTATTTGGTGTTAATTCAGATTGTTTAACTAAAATATTTCTATAACAACAACAACTAGGAAATATATAAATCAGCTCTCAAACCTCACACACTCAAGCTGTTCTATTTGTCTGTAAGTAACGGTAGGTTGCTGTGTCCACTCTGTGTCCTCTGTGTGTCCGCTCTATCCAGCCCAGGCCCACACGTGGACGCATGCGGATCCACTGTCTGGAGAATGTGGACAAAGCTCTTCAGTTTCTCAAAGAGCAGCGTGTACACCTGGAGAACGTGGGATCTCACGACATTGTGGATGGGAACCACAGACTGACGCTTGGCCTTATGTGGACCATCATCCTGCGCTTCCAGGTCAGAGCCACACCTCACTCACACTGGGGATTTGGAAATGAATCATTCCCAAATCCCCAGAAATAAGACTTACTCATTTACTTACTTACTTAACAGGTTGCGTTCCAGATAATGTCTCTTCAACTGGAAGCCCACCCGTAAATACTTACTTCACTAAATTATATCCAAGATGGCAGTGCAATTTTGAAAAGTTTTTGATCCAATGATTTTCTCCGGTGTTTTAAGGTGCCATATTGCGCTCGTCTTCTTTTTCACAGTCCATCCTGTGTACATGTGTGATAATAATTTGAGTTATACAACATACAACACTCAGATCTTGTGAGATTATAGCCTCTCTTCTCCCCCCTACCAGAGCGATGACGTAGCCTCACACTAAGTTGTCTATCTCCAAAGCAATTAACTCTTCAGCTTCGCGATGCATAGTCATTTCAGACCTGAGAATAAACTTTTTCCAACAATGGCAATCCAACACATCACGCCCTATGTCCGCGATCCTGAATCAGACCCTAATAAAAAAAAAAAGCTGGCCCAGGGAAACGCCCGCGACGTGTGGAGAGGCCTAAAGAACATCTCCGGCTTTGGACAGAGTACCAGAGGAACAGCAGATGGAGACCAGCACCGGGCGGATGAATTTAACCAGCACTTCAACCGGTTTGATTCTCCCCCCTCTCCATCTGCCCCCCCTCCCGCCCCCACCTCTTCACACGTCCCCAGCCCAGTGGACACCGCCCAGTGGACACTGCCTCCGGCTGCACCGGGCCCTCCTGCCCCCGCATCCCCAGCCCCCACCTCTGACAGATGGTGAGGGACAGGAGGCCCCTGGACTCTGTAGAGGAGGTGAGGGACAGGAGGCCCCTGGACTCTGTGGAGGAGGTGAGGGACAGGAGGCCCCTGGACTCTGTGGAGGAGGTGAGGGACAGGAGGCCCCTGGACTCTGTGGAGGAGGTGAGGGACAGGAGGCCCCTGGACTCTGTGGAGGAGGTGAGGGACAGGAGGCCCCTGGACTCTGTGGAGGAGGTGAGGGACAGGAGGCCCCTGGACTCTGTGGAGGAGGTGAGGGACAGGAGGCCCCTGGACTCTGTGGAGGAGGTGAGGGACAGGAGGCCCCTGGACTCTGTGGAGGAGGTGAGGGACAGGAGGCCCCTGGACTCTGTGGAGGAGGTGAGGGACAGGAGGTGCTAGTCAAAGCCACCTCCATCGTGAACAACACCTCCCACTGCACAGGACTGTAGAGGAGCTGAGGAGCTCCTTCAGAGTAAGAAGGAGCAGGGCCTTTATCCCCACCGCTGTCAGACTGTACAATAAGTCACTTTAAGTCACTGTATATGACTGATAAGACCTGCACTACTATTGACACTATTTCTGATTGCCACTTAAATTGCCACTTTTTTTATTGTACATATATCCTGCATTTAACATGTTTGAACATTTCCTCCCTTTTTGCACAGTCTGAGTGTCTCTGTCCATGCCAAATGTGACATGTTATTTCTCCTTTGTGAGATAAATAAAGCATATCTTATCTTATTATTTAGTTAATAGAAATATACGGCGAGTTAGTAGCACTGCACTGTCCTCGTAAACGTCTTAAAACTGGTTTCCAGATGAGTAAGTCCAGTTTCATGGTAACTGTAGTTCTGGAACAGTCTTAGTGAAGTGTGGCAGATGCAGATTTCAGAGGCAGATCCCTGTGAAAAAATTCTTTGTCTTTGGGCCTGTTGTGGAATTTCTAAGGAGTGAAATACACAATATTAAATATAAAATAAACAAGAAGAGCTGTAATACAAATCAAAGTGTGGTTTATTATCTCAGTAAATGTGACAGATACAGGAAACACAACCGTGTAACCGCGTGGCAGGTCCCGGATAGATCTGCTGAATACTGCTCATTCTCTCTCACATTTTAGGATGGAACAAACAGAAGAGTCTATGGCGTCTCAGAGTCCCAGATTAAGTGGTACCCGTCGCCCAAACCCCCCTCTCTTCTGACGTCTTACTCTGATATTAGGAAGAATGGTCAGTCTGACCGGTGAGCCCGCTCTTCTGCCCCTGATATCAAACTAGTATCTGCTTCCACCCCGTCACTGGCCTCGCGTCCCTACAGAAAAACAGTTTAGTTAGTTTGAACAGATTGACTAGCTTTGAACTTTGTCCCAGATATCCCATTTCATCATTGGATTCATTCTTAAGTTAAATTGATTTATAATCCCAGTTAGATTTCTATAACAGGCCAAAGAGTTATTTACACTAAAAACACATTTTCTCCAAGTTGACGTGATCTTAACACTTTTAGTCACTGACAAAAGCAGAAAAACAGTACAGCTCCATGTGGTGGACGGGGGATCGTACCATAGGTCAGGGGTGCTCAATGCGTCGATCGCGATCTACCGGTCGAACGTAAAGGTTGGGTGGGTAGCTCGCATAACTTGCAGAGTTCATACTGTACGTGTCATGTATGCAATTAGACACGTTTCATTGCTCCAGCAAGTATGAAGACAGTAAAACAGATAGTCAGTTGCCCACTATTCGCCTCTTGCACACAGAGAATAACGCCACACACACGCAAGGAATAGGGCGCCAACTGAGCCCTTCTCCATTGAGCCCGCCTGTGTGCTCGAGCAGTTTTCATCCTCTGCACCCTTTACGCACAGGCCGACCCGCCCCAGCCTGTACAAATGTGACTGCTACTAAATACATTCTGATGGCGCTTCCTTGAAAGAAAGAAAAGAAAGCACCCACAAGCATGTATACAGTCAAAGTAAACAAGATTCTGACAAATAATATGAGCAATAAGAAATTATATGTGACATTTACAATACGAGAAACATACTGTGCATTTTGTGGCAGATGGATGTGTACTTTGCACCACTACAATACTGATAACTGAAACTAATAACTTTTAAGCAAACTTTGCATAAAGACAACATGGTCGTCTGTTGATCATGAATCACAAATAAAAATACATCAAGAATCAAACCAAATGTAATATTCTGAATCATAACACCCACATACTGTAAATCCGAGGTAGATCACGGTTTAATGTTTGAAAAAGTAGATCTTGGTTCAATCTCCACCAAACCAAACATCCAGCGTTTTCTTTGTCACAACAGGGAGAGTGAAGCAAACGTGAAATAGGCATTTTCTGTTCAGCCATTTTAAGTTTTAGAAAATCTGATAACTCAGGTGTGCAAACAGGAAGAGGGTGAAGGGAATGAACGAATCCCATTGGTTTGTTTTTATCGGTCCGCTTCAAAATATTTGTTGTTAGTTTTTGGAGACTAGGCATCTGGTCAATTCCAATACCATTTGAAAACACATGATACCTTAACTGCTTTTTAGGGTTTAGAGTTGTTTTCCCATAATTTAAAAAGAAAATGCGTATGGAAAAAAATCACTGACTGCATCTTTTAGTGTGGGCACGGTGGCTGAGTGGCGTGTTGTGCGTGAACGAGTTCAAAAGAACGCGTTCATTGAACACGCTCATTTTTTTGTGAACGTTGAACTGGGCGGCACGGTGGCTGAGTGGATAGCACTCTCGCCTCTCAGCAAGAAGGTCCTGGGTTCGAATCCCGGTTGGATCAGGGCCTTTCTGAGTGGAGTTTGCATGTTCTCCCCGTGTCTGCGTAGGTTTCCTCCGGGTACTCCGGTTTCCCCTACCACTAAAAATATGTCCAATAGGTCTGGCATGTGCCTCCTGTACTGGCCCCACTCCCAAAAATAACAATTGTAAACCGCTTTGAGACTCCGACGTGCAGTGAAAAGGTGGTATATAAATAAAGATTACTACTACTACTACTGAACGCAACACATTTCTTAATTTTGAACGTGAATTAGTTCATATTATGTGTCATGAACGGCCGACATCACTGTAAGTGAACGTTGGAATTAGTTTTCCATTGAAATCTGAGTGACATCTGTTTTTGAAACGCAACGAGAGAAAGTTCCTCCCTCCTGTATTCTCTGCACTTTTTCCACCAAAAACTAAAAATCCCCACGGTTTCCTCCGTCTGTGAACGCACCCTGACTCTGTGTTGCGGTGCGGCGCTGTATGCTAGTGCTTTTCATGGGTTATTGGACTCTGCAGCGTATTACTGTCTGTACTTATGAGCAGAAACTACTCAGTTTTGCTCCCATTGGAAACCATGTAAATCTTGCCTGTTTTGGAGTCAAAAGGCTCTCGTCCTGTGCGGTGTACAGGAGATATATATACAGTGTCTTGCGAAAGTATTCGGCCCCCTTGAACCTTTCAACATTTCGCCACATTTCAGGCTTCAAACATAAAGATATAAAAATTAATTTTTTTGTCAAGAATCAACGTTTGTGAAAGCAGTCTTCAGCTCTTTCCACAGATTCTCGATTGGATTCAGGTCTGGACTTTGACTTGGCCATTCTAACACCTGGATACGTACTATTTGTGAACCATTCCATTGTAGATTTGGCTTTATGTTTTGGATCATTGTCCTGTTGGAAGATAAATCTCCGTCCCAGTCTCAGGTCTTTTGCAGACTCCAACAGGTTTTCTTCCAGAAATGGTCCTGTATTTGGCTCCATCCATCTTCCCATCAATTTTAGCCATCTTCCCTGTCCCTGCTGAAGAAAAGCAGGCCCCTAAAGCATGATGCTGCCACCACCATGTTTGACAGTGGGGATGGTGTGTTCAAGGTGATGAGGCTGTGTTGCTTTTACGCCAAACATATCGTTTTGCATTGTGGCCAAAAAGTTCCATTTTGGTTTCATCTGACCAGAGCACCTTCTTCCACATGTTTGGTGTGTCTCCCAGGTGGCTTGTGGCAAACTTTAAACCAGACTTTTTATGGATATCTTTGAGAAATGGCTTTCTTCTTGCCACTTCTTCCATAAAGGCCAGATTTGTGCAGTGCACGACTGATTGTTGTCCTATGGACAGACTCTCCCACCTCAGCTGTAGTTATCTGCAGTTCATCCAGAGTGATCATGGGCCTCTTGGCTGCATCTCTGATCAGTCTTCTCCTTGTTTGAGATGAAAGTTTGGAGGGACCCGGGGCCGGTCTTGGTAGATTTGCAGTGGTCTGATACTCCTTCCATTTCAATATAATTGCTTGCACAGTGCTCCTTGAGATGTTTAAAGCTTGGGAAATCTTTTTGTATCCAAATCCGGCATTAAACTTCTCCACAACAGTATCTCGGACCTGCCTGGTGTGTTCCTTTGTCTTCATCGTTCTCTCTGCGCTTTAAACAGAACCCTGAGACTATCAAAGAGCAGGTGCATTTATACGGAGACTTGATTACACACAGGAGCATTCTATTTATCATCATCATCATTTAGGACAACATTGGATCATTCAAAGATCCTCACTGAACTTCTGGACTGAGTTTGCTGCACTGAAAGTAAAGGGGCCGAATAATATTGCAAACGCCCCACTTTTCAGTTTTTTATTTGTTAAAAAAGTTTGAAATTATCCAATAAATTTTGTTCCACTTCACGATTGTGTCCCACTTGTTGTTGATATCTTGACAAAAAATTAAAATGTTATATATTTATGTTTGAAGCCTGAATGTGGCGAAATGTTGAAAGGTATCAAGGGGGCCATAACACTTTCACAAGGCACTGTATGTATTACAGTATATAACTCTATATATATATCAGTATATGTCACGTAGAGTGAAATTTTAGCTCGTGAGTTGTGAAAAAAAAGTGTTTAGTTTTAATATCTCACAAAATAAGTAAAACTTTTGAACTAGTTTCTGAAACAGCTGTGAACTGGCACACCAATGGAATGAGTATGATAATCACTCTCGCCTCTCAGCACGAAGGTCCTGGGTTCGAATCCTGGTCGTAACAGGGCCTTTCTGAGTGGAGTTTGCATGTTCTCCCCGTGTCTGCGTAGGTTTCCTCCGTTTACTCCGGTTTCCCCTACCACTAAAAATATGTAACAATAGTTTTCTAGCATGTGCCTCCTGTACTGGCGACCCTCTCCCATCTCTGTGTGGAGTGAGAGACAAGTGCCCAAAAATAACAATTGTAAACCACTTTGTGACTCTGGCCTGTGAAAGGCGGTTATACACCGCCTGCCATAGACCAAACGCTGGACTCGGGAGAGCTGTGCGCGCTGTTCCTGATTTGTCAATCACCTCTGTATTTATAATATTATATGTTATATTATCTTGGAAAACAAATGCATCGACAGGACGTTCTGCGCGTCATCT